TGTGACATGGGAACATGTGCACTACGTCATCCTTGAGTCAGGAGCAAAGATGATTAGAAGTGGGGTTATTTACGGAGTACAGAGGGAGAGAATGAGTGCTCCTGACTTGATTCAAGGGTATTGAGTCTATTGACCTCTACTATTCAAGGGTCTCAACACGCGACAAAGCCCTCATTGAGGCCTTATTCAATCAACTCAATAATGCACAAATTTCAGCTGCGTATTTCAGCTAGCGAATAGGCTTTCAAATGGCGATTTGATGCCTGAGGGCGCAGCGCTCGCTACCAAGATGAATTTCCTCTTGACGGAGTGCGGGGCCTGATCGGCGGGTGAGTCCAACAAAGTGGTCTAGGCTTTACGCAGAAATCTATAAATAATGGCCATGGGTTCGGGGCGGAATATGCACCCGATGGAGGAGCCTGCATTGTGAATGCAGGTTGCGCGAGAAGAAAGCCGCCTTGCGCAAGTCATGGGTACACCTGTGGAGCATGCGGAACGCTGTTAATTAGCTGCACGGATCCTTAACAAAAACGGTGGTAACTCGTGCCGCGCCTTACCCTTGCTCTCAGAATTTTCTAATAGAACGCTGGCCTTTATTAGGTAGTGGTCGATATTGTCTAGCTATGCTAGTTAGGTCACTACTAAGTACTTCTTGGTAGGTTGCGTCTATAAAGTTTGAAGCGTATCTTCTAAATCCGGTACGGCCAGGCAAAGAAGGGGCATGGTAAGTAATAGTATGCTCTGAGAAGTAACTATAAGTTAACGGAAAGGAACAAGGATAACTCGACCAACTATTAGTCCGCTTGCATCGTTAGAGTTTAAAACCAACGACAACCGCGTGCAATAAGGGGCAATGAGCAGGCACAATCACCGCTGGCGGACATTAACCACTTCTCCCAGACTCAGCCGAGGTTGCACTACAAGTGGTTATATGACCAACTGCATGGAGAAGCCTTAGCCGCAACTGGCCTCTGTTAATCTGCGTGCATGGTATCCGCCACCAAATATGTCCCCAACCAGACCGCATAAGTTAGCAGATCAGCCACAATAGCAATAATGCGTCTGCTCGCTCGTGCCATCGAACCCCATCCCCGAAACACTAATGCTTCAAGATCTCTGACATAATGACTTCCATGATAATATTGCACTCGAGGCTCCTGGCCTCTGTCCTTGCGGTCTGTGCGACTCAGATCGTGCAAGGAATGCCCACGGCCACTCCCACGTTAACACCTATACCCATAGAAAATGCGATAGGAAGACACGGCCGTGGCGGGCACATAATGGACGAGAATCCAAGTATGCCCCATGATCCAGACAAGAATCCTGATTGCTCTTGGTGGTGGGACAACGACAGGAGCATTAGTTGTGAAGACATGCCCCGCGAATAGGGCATAAGCCGCGAGGACTTTTTGGCTTGGGTAAGACATGCCGCGTCCCCCCAATAAGAGACTCAGATGGAACTGAAGTTTGCTGACGCATCGATCTACCCGCAGAATCCTTCCATCCATACGGACTGCAGTAACTTCATTGCTGGTTGCTTATACTGTGTCGAAGCACCATCTTCTCCTCCGCCGGGCAACCCGACTATTACATCCCAAGACCTAGGAACAACCACAGCCCCGGACAACGGTGTCGAGACACCACAACCCACGCAGCCGGGCATGATTAGCACTTGTGACCGCTTCTACCTTGTGCAGAAGGACGACTCATGTTCTATCATTGCCTCTAACAACGGGATCGCGCTTTAGAGTTTCGTCAGCTAAAACCCCTCCGTCATGTCTGACTGCAGTGGACTCTGGGCCGAAGTTTACGTTTGCATCCGCGTCCTCGGATACCAGTCTACTACCATCAAGCCCTCGTCCACGACATCTGCTGGCAACGGCATCTCTACCCGCAGCCTACGCAGCCAAACATGGTATAGAATTGTAACAAGTTCTACTTGGTGAGACAAGGTGACAGCTGCGCCGCAATTGCATCATCAAATTCCATTTCACAGGCACAGTTCATCTCGTGGAACCCTTCGGTTCAGTCAGACAGCTCTGGGCTCTGGGCGAACACCTATACGCCGCGCGGAGCCTTGCTCTCTGCTACAAATGGAGCACTACAGGAGGTGTGCTAGCCATCGCGTCAGATTCCTTTTTCGGCGATGATCTCAACACCCGAAAATCGTCTCAGGGCATGATTATCACCCTCATCGGCGGACCTGTGATCTGAAGGCCACCCGGCAACCCACTGTGAGCACCTCAACAACGGAAGTAGAGCTCCTAGGGCTTGAAAAAGCAGCGAAGGAAGTTCTTGGCGTGACTCACCTGTCATATCTCAGTCCTGCGCCACGTCTACGTGGCCCAGGACAGATATGGCCCAGGACAGATATGGCCCAGGACAGATATGGCCCAGGACTGAGACCCAGGTATGATGTGGGCCCAGTGCAAGGCTGATCCGAGGGTAAGGACCAGAACTTCCCTGTGCCGCAATTTCTTGGCCTTATGGCCAGTTGCTGCACTTCAGCTTCTGTAGGGATACCACTGATCTCCAGAACTAGATTTTTTTGGTTTCCCAACCTGTACCGAACTAGATAGTGATGGCCACTAGAAGCAGAAAGCATTTCATTGAAAAGGCCACGAAGCGCTGAACTTTATGGAGATATACTCTTCTTCATCAAACATGGCGCCTTTCGTCGATCTCCTCACTCCCTGGTTGGCGATTTGGACCGCCACAAACCTAGGCAGTTTTGACGTCCCCGTCGTCTGCTCGGGGAGTTGCAACACTATCAATAACACAATCAACTACGCCCAGTACACAACAGAACCGAGCTTGCGATTCCTCGCAACCACCAAACTCATACTCGCGCAATGCGAAGATCCCCAAAGTACATATAGACGGGGGTTGCAAGTGTGCAATGAGTGCATGGACCGGAATGAGCAACATCAACAGTACCCTGATATTTGTGCCTCACTGGGGTTCAGCTCTGCTGTAAAAAGATAATTGAGGACTGAAAATCAGGGATTGGAATCGTTCTGTTTGCTTGTGGGACAGTCCTCGCCATGTATGCAGGGTAGCGTATGAAACAACCAGTCGCTCAGGCCGTCGACGTGCATTGCGTTCTTACGGACGGAACTAGTACGGCGGGACGGTGGTCAGTACTACTCGTGCCGCACCCCACCTCTCTCACCTTATGAGAGGTAGGGCGCGGCACGGGTAAGGGATTACCCTCGCGATCTCATCATTCGCAGTACCTCGGCTAATCATGGAAAGATTTAATTCATGCTGACACTTCGACAGTCAGGGAGCCATTCACGTGATCATTTTGGCGCCCGCGACACGTAGTACCTTGATGCTGCCTCAAGGCAGCAAATAAGCCAGCCATGGCGCTCGCCGCTCGACGCTCGATGCTACCTCATCGCGGGGATCGCGCCGCTCCCGACGGGGCACGCGCGGCTGTGTTCTTGCTCGACCGGAAGCACAGCGGCGCGTTTCCCATGCAGCGCGGCGACGCCTCCCAGGCCGGCGACGTATGCGGACACAACGTCGTCATTGCCACGCTGCCGGTGGGCCAGGTCAAGAAGTACTTTCCCAACCTCTGGTTCGGGCTACTTGTGGGCGTGCCGACCCTCACACATAGGAAGCGCCCACCGGATAATAGACGCACGCGGATCTGGTACGGGCCGATCCGGAGTGGCAGCCGTACGCGGCGGCGATGGCGGGGGCTTATGCGAAGGACGTCGTGGCGTAGATCGGACCGTGTGGGCGAAATAGCTCTCACCAGCGTTATGCATGATTGTTGCTCGTTCTTAGACACTCCAAACGCAAAGACAGATAAAAAAAAATAGGAGGGCTAGACATTATCGTCGCCAACCGTGGATCAGACATCACATAACCAGAGAATCGTCTCCAGCGGAGTTTTTCCAGCCCTGTGCGGTAAGTCCTAGGACACAGAGCGATAGTAGTACTCTGCAATGCCTGACTTTGACCTACGCAACGAGGGCGCATTCCCTACATTCGATGGTTTTCCAGGCGTCAACGATATTGATCTCGAGTTCTTCGATACTGATAATGGCTTTTATTACCGCCCACGGAAGCACCGGTGCTTTCTCGCGAGATCGTTGATGTAGAGACCTTCCTACGTTTGAGTCTCGACGTTGAAGACCGTGCGGGTCAGGTCACTCTGCTTATGTTCTACACCGACAGTCGCGGGAGGGAGGTGCCACCTTCTCAACTTCGTCAAGGCTATACAGTCGCCGTTCTATATGCGGAGCAACGTGGATTCCTTGATATATCAGCAGGGATTCGACACGAAGACCCCAAGTTATTGAAGATAAAGTCGCACTTCAATCAAGCCTGTCCTGCCACTGATACCATAGTTAGATCTTCCAGTCGAGCTGAAGAAGGTGCTCGAGCTCAGCGATCGCGTCCAGAACCATGCCGATACAGGCGAGGAGGGGACCACATGCCATACTTGTGGCAAAAATTCTGCCATCCTGAAGAACTGCGCACGGTGCTCCCTTTTCTGGGACTGTGGCAAGGTAAGCATATAATCAAGCCGTCCCATGCGGACGAGTGCACTGGAAGCCAAACAGGATTGCCAGGCAGTCGACTGGAAGGAGAGAGGCCACAAGGACGATTGTAAATTACTCAAAGACCCTGATCTGCAGGGCTTGTTTCGTCTCGAGTGGGGTAATTTCGAGGATTACCAAAAATTCAGCTGAACCGCGACTTGCTTCCTGTAGCTCTTGTAGGCCAGACCTTTTGAGTGGCCAAAAGACTAGAGTTCCGGGTACATCTGGCGCTGTTCGCGCAAGCAAGAACGTTGACAAAGGCATCCTTACCTTACCATCAACCGAAGTGTGATATACGATAGTGAGCAGGTCTGTCAGCTTGTGATCAGTTAAACCTCAATAGGGTTCGTGCCGCGTGAAGATATCACCTCTGACAGTCTCTCGGAGCACTAGAACACAGACACGAAGTAAGGTGAGCAGATTGTACCGTACTCGCCGGAGTTCGAAACATTAGGAGTGTGTATATATTAAGTTCTCCTTTAACCTCTAGCTCGCCTGCAATGCATCTTCTGTCGCATATAGTGTGCTTCTATACCATTCTAGCATCACTTTCTCCATCACCATCCGTTCGCAAATCACTCCAAAGATGGTCCTTCAATGGCGCCTTGGTTTATTGTCCGTATTTTATGACTATATAAGCCTTTCGCGGTAGGAAAACACAGATTGCGCTTGATTATACGTATCGATGATGTTCCGACCGCAACCGAGCCAGGACTGTCAGCATTCCATGTCACATCATAGGGACGAAAATGAGGTGGAAATATTGTCGTGTAATTTAAGGTCATTGAAATGAAGCATCCAGCGTATGTACGCCTCAACCTGGCGTAAGGGCAAGCCGATGAAAAGGCACTTTTTTCTTCACCATGTCGACGGCAGGCTTGACGTAGTCGGGAAAGATGGACCTGCCGTAGAATCCAAAGTCCTTGGACGCTGCACGCCAAGCCGTGTTCGGAGATCCCGGGCGACTATCTGCTCTAGATAGCGACTAAGTTCCCAGAGCAGAACCTTGTGCGACTTGCGGGCTTTGGACTGGGTGCATTCAGCAGGTTGCCAAGACGGGTACAACTTCTGGTGACACGCTGATACGCCAATGTCGAGAGGGTGGCGGGACATGAGTTGATGACAGAGGAAACAGGCCTTTTTGCTCGTGCCCATGAACAAAAATCTTGGAGTAAGTTCAGGGTGGTCATCATAAAAGCTCAGAAGCTGCATCTCTGCGTGAACAGTAAGCGTGAGGTGGCACGCCTTTCTGAAGCGGGATTCCGGATCATCCGTCAGCCAGACTTTTCCCAGCTGCGCAATCAGGTCTTGAGTGTCATCTTGTTCCGTCAGCCTCTGCAAGACATCGCTCAAAGCCTTCTTGTTGCCGCCGGGGGTGAATGACTGCGATGGAGGCGTCTCGATTATGCTGACATGCATCGAGGTAAATAGTGATGGTTGTTTGACAGCGAGTTTGACCATGACTTTCGCAGCAACCCAGTAACGACCCAATTTGTATATGTTGTTGATCCAGGAGGGCAGGTCTTGTCCTCCTGGACAGAAAAGTGTCTCGATCTGCTCGGAGAACGCCCACTTTGCTTGAGAAGCCCATTTTATGTGAAGCTTGAGCTTGTCGGCGGTTGCATTTGAGCCGAGAGATGCTACCGTGGAAAAGTTGTCAACCCAACGTCTAAACGAGGAGCCCTCTATATCATCTTCGGTCCGTATGACCCGCTCCACGTTTATTCTCGACGCTTTGTCATGAATAACCGCCGAGACCTCGGGTTTATTCAGTCTATCGAGAAGACTGATGATCTTATCCAAAGTCAGGTCGATGATTTGTGACAGAATAACGTCCTCCATTGCTTTGCTGGAGCTTGCTGGGAACGACAACTGGAGTCAGATCAAACTTGTTTTGGGTTGCATAGCGATGGGACTCACGGTCGTTGGCTACCGTGTTGAGGTTCTCTAAAACTTTTTCGAGCCGTTCAGATAGTTCAGGTGGAATGGCTTGGTTCCGAGCTGTGCGTAGGACTGTCCCCGGTGGCTGTCCTGTTTCCAGGCATGCAGCCGCAGCAGTCTCAGAACCTTGCCTTGATGTCGAACAAATGAGGGCGAACGAGTCCAAGAACTTTTTTTGTAGGTGCTCAAGCTTCGCTATGCCGTCTTGGGGGTGCCTATCCAGGCTGTGCACCGTAGGCTCTCCTCTCACAGGGTCCAGAAGAGACAACAGAACCTTAACCATTATGAAGCGTCTCTGCGCATCTCCAGGTTGGTTTTGTTTTTTCCCCATATCAAAGTTTGATGGTTTGGTTTAGACCTTGCGCTCGGTTCTTTCTGCTTTTTGCTCACGCCCTTTCAGTTTGCGATAGGACTGCTTAGCTGAAATGCGGGAGGGTGAGCATAAGGGTGCCGCTGTGATTCGTCGATGCACAACCCCGCACCAACATATTGGATTCTAGTTGTACTATTCATATGGCTGATGGCTTGTGTCCACTCTATTGGCCAGGAACGAAGGTCTGGCTTGACCCGTCTGCAAGGTGACGGCAAGGGCATGCACGGGCGCTCGCTGCTTTTGGCTGCGAAATAAGTATAAAAGGCAGTGCCTGAATGTGATCTTTGGGATATGAACCTTGCTACTCACAGGCGGCGTCCACAACATGAGGGCACAGATTGGGTACGCCTTCCGTGAGGGCGCCCTCGATCCTCCATTGCTTTGTGATGAGGATGCGACCAGTCCCCGGCCACTTTGTCTTGCTGGAATTGTCAATACAGCTTCCCTTTTCCCTGGTATATCCACCAAATCGTCCCGGTATTTTGACTTCGAAGGCTGGGAGCTCCGTACACATCATTCCACAATTGAACCTGCCCGACTCACCCGAACATCGGCAAACCAGCTGGCCTCAACTGCTACAGCCCCAACCCACAAAGCATGAGCTGCGGGGGTGCGACTTCCGACCATCAGTTACACTTAGACACTGATGAAACGTCGAATCGCCCGGGGTTGTGTGACAGAGACAGAGAGTATCACATCCAGACGCTCGACCTCATCAACAACAAATCACGGCAAAATATCGTGGCAACTACCGAGAATTTCTCAAACTCCAGACGGTCTAGTCATTACCGAATGGCTAAACCAACCAAAAAACGCCAACGCCTGAAATGTAATTGGAAGCACTGTCAGTTTACAGCTTCAAATTCTAGCGAGCACAAGTACGTGTCACGCCGGTGCAAGCACATGTCTCTCAATCTAAATGCCGGCTAGACAGCATCTTGACAACCACAGAATATGCCCAGCAGACAATTGCGGGTGGCGAGAGGGCAAGGAGCTCAAGGTACAGCAACGCCATGTTTGGACCCATCATGTCGATTGGGCCGTGAGAATGAACTATCCTACAATAGGAGGTAAATGCCCCTTTGCCAACTGCAACAAGTCGTACAAAAGAAAAGATTATGTGAAGAGGCATATCAAGGAGAATCATAGTTTGAAGAAAAGAACGAGAGGCGATGGTGGCTAGCACTAGCACTTCGATAGGCAGTTCAAAGCATTTGAACATACTAGTTGTTTCTGCAAGTGCGTCTTCAAGTCACTAGCACTGAGTCGATCAGCACCGGAACTGGCCTTTCATTGCCTTGTATGGGCTCAGCAATCAGAACGGATACGGGTACTATCCTGTGCTCGCCATGGTCGGTGAAAATTCAAAACAGTTTCCGTTTCTCGGCTGTGGCCGGAAAGAAGCTGCCTGATTGCGAATCAAGCTGGAAGCTCCCTACCTTCGACACTCTCCAGTATAAAGATACTCAAAGACCCTCCAATACGCTTGCAGACTTCCTTCGGAGAATGTGATCTCCCTCGACAGACTCTCTTCACATTCACTGCCGAGGATCTTCTCGAAGTATTCTCTTTGAGCTACCAAAACAAGGCTATGAGCGGGTAGCTCAAACGTGCCAAGCTGGATGTTCACATCAGAAAGGCCGCGGTTATTGAACGCCTTAACGGATTTAACGAATGCTATCACATCAAGCTAAGATAAACAACCGCACTTGCTAATCGCCGTGTCGATTGCGTCGATACAGCCCGTTTTCATCGACCCTTTGCTGTCCTTGGTATGGTCCGAAAAAAACGCCATCATGCCGGAATGGTTCTCAATATATAGAGAGGAATCAATGGTACCCACGAGTTGTTTCTTTTTCTTCGCCATATATGAATATTATGAAGAGATGATGATGAGTTGTCTGTTCATTATCCTCAGATTAGTCGAGCAGACTGCGAGAACAGAGGCGCAGCATAGCACCACGGTGCACAGTTAAAATCACCTTCCCGCACTCTTTCCGCTCTCCTAATCACACCTTACTTCTATCAGTTCACCGGCCAAGGTTGTTTTGAAAATTTCTTTCAGTAGGTTGGTCTTTGGTTTGCGATCGAGACTCCCTCCAGCCATGGCGACAAGGATCTCCCCCATATCAGAAGGTGGAGACACCAGTGTTCCCGATGCTGTAGTGCGGGCCGGCTTATGCCCCAGGGACCACAAGACATCAATCCCCGCCGACCACGAGATGCAACATCGGACCAGCATCATTGTCGGTCTCTTGTTTAAACAAAGTCCCTGTATACCACAGACTAGCCAAGTTGCGCAGGCAAGTGAGCCGCCTCATCCAAGGTCTCGTGTTCCGTGGTAGATAACAATGGGAACAAGGCTGGGCGAACCCCGCTGGTAACCGTCATTTCAGGAAACAACGTCATAATGCCGACAAGCTCGATGCGAATACTTCCCGATATCATTATGGCCTGATGCGGAAAATTGGCTTCGAGCTCCAAGAAGCTACTCAAGGTCTCGTAACCAGAATAGCTCCTGGTAGCATCCTCGACATGTGCGTGGCTCCGGGGGGTTTTCTATCAACCGCCATGGACCTGAACCCGGGCGTGGTCGTGGCATTCAGCCTTCCGACGTCCGATGTGGATATTCTGTCCTCCTACCTGAGGATAAGCGAGAATGCGTGCCATTCTTAGATATCACGATGCTCGCTGCCGATATGGGTGCTACTACAATCCTAGCGAATCATCCGGATGCGAGGGACTTCCTACCTCGCCAGATAAGAGATGACCAGCTTTTCGATCTAGTCATATGTGACGGACAAGTCCTTCGAACACACATCACATCACCATATCGAAAAGCAGGCGAACGAACCTGCCCGTCTCAGATATACCCAGCTTGCCCTTGGCCTTGAGCATCTGAAGCCAGGCGGGAAAATGCTCGTACTTTTGCAAAAAGTCGAGTCGTGGGATACGGCATATATTCTGAAGAGGCTTCAACGGATATGCATCAGTCATGTTATACAAACCAAGAAAAGGCCACACAAGGCGGTCATCATTTACATGATCGCAAGTGATGTGCAAAGTCGACACCCTGAGGCTATCCTTGCCATCAAGAAATTGAAGGCGGTGTGGCAAGCTGCGACATTTGGTTCGGATGAGGAATTCGCGAGGGCTCTTTTTGACGGATATGATAGTCCGGAGAGATTGTTGGATGAGTTCGGCTCTGAGCTGGTCAGGCAAGGCGAAGAAGCAGTGTGGGCTGTGCAAGAAGAGGCTCTTGCCAGTGCGTCTTTTATAAAAGAAGACCAGAGGGCCCACAAATAAATTGGTGGATACAATACTCAATCCTTCGCGCCCCGAGTGAAAAGTAAAGTACCGGTACGCTTGATCGAGACGTTTAGCGCCTTTGGCATCTGCTCCTCATATATGTTCGGAGAAGACGATCGTGTTACACACGAAGCCGCAGTTAGCTTCGATGTGGATAGCATTTACAGGGTTCCCCGCGAGTCTGGCCGTCGCCAAGCAAGGCATTCGTTGGCATCCTACCCAGTTGCCCGTATCGCACCTCCAGCCCGACCTTCACCTCATTCGGAGACTGACTGCCTACGACATGGCATACCGTCTATGTCCACCCTGTGGCCGCTTGCACCCTGCGAACACGAACCATTGCCGGCCTTGTCAAAATGCTGATCTTCGTGATGCTTTATGCACACATGGGTTACGAATAGCAGAGTTCTTTGCGTGCTTGAGGGGGTCTAATTTGTGGCCCTCGGTTCGGATTTTCGAGACGTAGGCCCCTGCCGTCATCGCTGAACAGATTATAGAGGCCAGGTTCAGACCTAAGCACCGCTGCAAGGGAGGTTCGCACTGTCCACTGATATTCGAAGTCGATCAACTGTCTAAAAGGGCTGCCGAGATAGTCAGCAACATTCGGGGATGTGACATTGAGTGATGGGAGGATGATAGCGCCGACTCATCCATCGGAATATAATCTGCAAGCTATCTCGTCTCAACCTTCTGTGTCTTTGCTCGTGTAAGACCTTTCCTGAACCACCTCAACTTCTGGTTGACAATTAATCACTTCTCCACTACTGAGTCTTACAGTACTCCGGACGGGACTGCTCGGGATTGGCCGGACAGCCCCGTCTTCAGCATGATCTTGGCTGCTTCTTCCATTCAGTCATTTGAGGTGGCCCTTGGCGGTTGTACTCTACTTTTATCTTTTTCCGCTTTTGAATTTGCTTGATATTCTTCTGGCGTGTCTATTCGTCGACAACTGTATTGAGCTGGAGCTGGGTTAGGGGATTGTGCTTGTACCAGCGTCTCTCACATCTGCGCCTCATCACATCCAACAGAAGTATCGACAAGGCAATCGTGCGATGGCATACATCTTCCAATGTCCGTTCGAAATTATATGTAAGGCACGCAGAGGCCTCCGAGATCTCCAGATGAGCACACTCAGAAGCTCGCACATTCCCATTATCAGTCGTTTCACGTTGCATTCGCAACTTCCAATGCGGAAACGTGCCAACACCTTGTTGACCTTCACGCCATGCATAGGGGCACGTTGAGTCTTGAGCACGCCTGTTAACCACCCGGCCATTCTCTCCAGATTCAGCATATCTTTAGGTGGAAGGAAGCAGCCGCAGTCGCTCGAGACGCCTTCCAGCACAGACCGTGATAAGATAGACTATGAGAGGACAGCATATGAGAGGCAGAATAGCGGGGGATAGCACATGCTGGCATTTTCTGGGTTCTTCTTTCCCTTCCTTCAAAGAGTCTTAGATCACTACGCAGTCCAGCAGGTGAGGAAATGAAGCATTCAGGATGTCCTTTCATGCTCCTCAGAGGCAGCAGTCGAGTCTACCTTCACCTTCAGCCCACTCAGCAACCGCTTCCACATCGCCGAGCTTTCCTACCCGCCGTCCCCTCCGTCAGTGTAGCTCGGTTTCCCACCACGATGAGCGTGGTTCTCGCACGGGTCAGGGCCACGTTCATCCGGCGCATGTCTGTCAGGAAGCCGATGTTGCGATGCTCATTGCACCGCACCGTCACAAAAACCACCACGTCCGCCTCGCGCCTCTGGAATCCGTCGACGCTGGACACCTCAATGCTCTGCGGTATCCTGGAGAGCATCCGGTTGAGAAGCTCCACTTGGCGAGAGTATGGCTTGAGTACGACTATGGAGTGAGCCGCGCCGTGGTTAGTTAGAGGAGGGACACTGGTCGTTAGGAGCTTGCAGATGTGGACGCAAAGGTCTGCTTGCCCCTTGTTCTCCTTCGAAGCCTGCCTGAGCGCCTCCCTTGCCTCGCAGTCGATAAAAACTGCTCGCCCACGGTCCGTCGCGCCCGAGCCCGTCGTCTGTGGGAATGGGAAGTCGGTCTTGTTCAGGGGCCGTGCACCACTGGTGATGCCCGATTTCAATTTGCCTTTGTAAAACTCCCTTGAGCTGAACTCACACAACGCAGGATGCATTCGGTGCTGAGTGTCCAGCATCAGCGTCTACAGGCCAGATGCAACCGTCGTTGAATCGTTGGACTCTAGATACAGCCTCTCGAACAGCGAGACGTCAAAGTCTAAGACGAGCGCTGTCTGCTTGACTGTCGGTCGAAGCTGCACGTCGTCACCGACCAGGATCACCTTGGAGCAGCTGACCAGGGGCACAAGGGAGCTCGGTTCTATCTGCTGCGATGCCTCGTCTACTATGACAATGTCAAAGGTCTCCGAGCGGAGTAGCTCGATCCCGGAACCGATGCAGATTCTAGTCTCTTATTGTGGCTGCCACACTCTAAGGATCCCCCAGCCGAGTGTCCACAGTATTGGCGGGGCCAACACACCATCTTGATTCTAGTCTCTTACTGTGGCTGCCACACGGCAGTCACATCGAGGCAAAGTGCCAACCGCGATGGCAGGGCCATCACACCCTCTCATCTCTCATCATTGTCTCTCAGAATCCACGGTGGCTGCAGCTGTCCAGGGACAGTTCCGGGGCTGTCCTAGCCGAGGGTCGTAGTGAGCTTGGTGAAGACGGACATCTCTCGGGCCTAGCCGTCGGTCATGATCTGCCGTGGCTGCCAGATAGCGAGGTTGCCAGACATATGTGGCCTGGCCCGGGGGTTCCTCACACAACGGCCCAAGAACACCGCTATATGTATCTATCAGTAAAGGCATAATCCTTTGCTGTGCGGGAAGAAGATCCAATCCCAGTGTCACAACCAATGTTCATCTTTGTGTACTGTTGCGTGATACCTACCCTTTCGGAAACACCAAATAACCCATGTGATTGATTGACAGGAAGTACACCCAGCCGCTGCAAGAAGGTGCGACTGGTATCGCAATGTCGCCCGATCACTGTGTGGCATATCACCTGATGGCACGGCCACTACGCGTCACGTTCGTGGTTGGCTATCACCAGCGAAATGGGAGTCCCGGGCAGACACAACCCAGTAGTAACCAGCAGCCTACGGGTCAATTCTCACTCGCTCTGCTTTGACGAGGAGTCTGTATGCAGGAACGCCAGTCGCAATGCCAAATGGCACGCAAAGATGCGCCTGCGATCGGACAACACGATAGCCCGAGGAATCCTAACCCTCTCGACACGCGGTGGATGCGCGAGGGGAAGCTCTGCATTACTCGGTGTAGTCGGAAGCGTGATGCCAAATAACGGTGCATCCAGCAGCGCATTTTGTCGGCACATTCCAGGATGTGCCTCAAAGGGGCTTGGCTGGTCTTGGAACTATGTCAGTCGCAGAGTCGTCCAGGCGGAAGAGAGCCATACCCAACGCAACGCTCGGAACCACAATTCGTGCCATGTTTCTGTACCCGCTTCGCAGGGTCTGAATGGGAATAGGTCGAGGAAACAGGAGACGGCCAGAAGCGAGGGAGCATGGTCTTTTAACCTCCGCGACCTTGGACCAGCGTCCCACGCTGAGCGACCGACGCATAGCTCTCGGCCACTGGAGTAGGTTCGGCTTCTGACTGTGCAGTCTTTTGGATACCGAAGCGCTTTCAGAAACGTGATCGGAAGAAGGCTTGCGCTTACCTCCTCTACTAGTCGACGGCCAATCATGGAGCACAAAGCTTCGTGGATTTCCTCAGACCGCGTAGGAGCCATGTTTAACTCGTCTCTTATCGTTCATGACCTTTTAGGCGACTAATGATATCTCTCAGATAGTGCTGCCAGTCACACTTGGGTTTTTTCTTCCAAATCCGGCCGCGGTCAAAGAGGAAGCCCTCCGGAGCGAACACAACAGGGCATCCGCAATGTAGCTTGAATATCCCCTTACAGCTCGGACACGGCTATTTGGGGACAATTGACAAACCCGATTGCTTATAACGCAGAGGTCACCCGCTGCATGGTCTTGAGAGGTGTCTGGGAGTCTTTCAATGCCTACCAGAGCTCCTGTTTGCTGCCATACGATGGAAAAACTTAGCTTCAGAAGACGAATACTTCGCCGAGTACGTAAACACCCTTCCCGACACACGCCTTTTCAAGCCGAACCGGCGCAAAGCGACCAAGGTCGACCTCAGACACGTGATCCTGATCCGCACGGTAGCAAAACGGCTCCTGATAAGCGCGTCGTCGACATGACCCGGGACTTTGGAGTGCTCCGTGGCTCGCTGGCGCACCACCGACTGATGTCCGATGATATACTCTCTCACCTTCTCCTCGTGTTGCAGAAAAACGCATAAGGTCTTAAAGAGGCCTCTCAGCTTTGCGATGAGCTGGTGTATGAGGTAAATAGGCGATGGCGAGCGGGAATACCCCCTGGTACGGCTTTCTCCCCGGCGTAGAAGACGCTCCGATTCCGCAGTGAGGCCTGTAGTAGTCGTCAGGAAACAACTGCAGTCATCCAGCTGGGTGCCTCGAGTCCTGGTCCCTCAGTGTGTCCACCCACGAACCTCTCAGCCCTAGTTCACGGCAACAATAGCGAGGTTAATCAGGGAGTTGCTCAACCTATCGATAGCATGAGGGGACCCTAGGCGCTTGACAGGACTGGGTACCTTCATACACAATCTTGCAATGGATTGATTTAAACTCAACTAATGACGAAAGATGATCTCTTAAGGTAGACTCATTATAAACCTCGCAGCGCAGGGTGCAGGGTGATCAAGTTTACCGGGTCTCGGAAGTGAGTTATTCTACAGAAATTGATACGCAAATGTAATCTATGCAAGTATCTGTCCAAACCATAGTATTCACGTTGAAGATAAGGATAGAGTGAATCGTCCATACAACCCACTCTCCATCGTCTAAGCCACTGCCCCTCAAGAATATCAAGTTTACTTTTCGTGTAGTGGGAATGAGGATAGAGAGTTTGTCATCTGCCCCCTTCACTGGACCAGACCTGTGATGAATCGCTAGCTCCCTGGCTCCAGCGTATTCATCTTCCAGAATACCACAACGGACTAACTCAGTGGTTGCCTGTTTGCGTGCCTGGTCGTGCGAAGAAGACCAACTGGGTTGGAAGTAAGACTTCTTATCGTTTTCGTGACTCGTCTCAATGGGTATCGCCAGCCGCCAAAAGTTTGCTCTGCAGTATGTTCGATGTAGGGCAACTCGTATAGGGACCAGTGCGAGAAGGCGCGGTGGCCTTGCAATCCTTGGGGTCGAATAACGCCGCACAAAGCTCATCTTCGCTGTTCAAACTAGTTTCCTCTTCGACTCCAATATTCGCGTCTCGTACAGGAGCGTAATATCATAAGACCCTATTATCTAGGGCCGAGGAGAATCTCTCAAAATCGCTTTCAGGAACTGTGATTCCCAGTGCCTTGCAGATAGCCATATAGCTATCGGACGTTAGCGCAGGCAGGATTTCCGGAAGGAATAACGCACGAAATGTCCGGTCGCCAAAGTCTTATGATATTGGAAGGACACAGAGAGAGTGGCAAGACTTCCCCTTGTTCCGCTCGAGGGTACATAGGACTGAGGTCGACGTCTGGGATAGCTCACATGGAGGTCAAAGTAAGGCCGCCTGTCCCATGTCAGGTTGTGAAGTATCTGGCATGGAAAACAAACCATAGAGTAGAACGCATTCATATGCACGATATCCGATCCTCGGATAGACGATGCATACATCTTAGCAGCTTGAAGGCGGAGGCTCTAGGGCGTTGGTGATGGTCCTCGGATTGCGTCAATTTCAAAGGTTTTGTCTCGTTTATGAAACTCCCCATCATGCTGTTGACCTCAGCCATACTCCGCCCTGTTTTCAAGTCTACGATGCAGAGCATCAACCTGAAGATGTTAAGTATATTGCGCTCATTGGTAGAGCCGTGCATGAGCCCCTGAACGAATGAGCGCAGACCTTCCCACCTGTTGACACCTTTGGCCTTCCTCTTATGCTGCCAGTCATGCTCATCTTTGGGGAGATTATTGTTGTTTGTCAGGCAGGTTTGCCTTGATTAGTCAGCCACACATTCGGCCCACAGCTGCCCTCAAAGGCAGCATC